ATTTCAACAAAAGGGTTCTTTTTTTCTTTCAGCTAATAAAAATCTTAAAATGCATACTGTATATGCACTTTTCACTATGTATCATTTTAAAAACAAACACCCTTTTAACTTGTGAGAGTTGAAACTGAATGGTTGAATTGGATTCCAGTTCTGTAGTCTCCTGTGCTGTATATTGTGGTGCATACATGAGAGGATCGGATGGCGTTTTTATTTGTTCTTTCAGTCTGCATCAACCAATGGTGCAAATAAAAGGGATAGTTTGCTGTTGTTTAGAAGCACATTAAACTCCTATTAGGAGCTTAAAATAAACTATATTGTAACAAGGATGAAATGATGTAGTGTGAATAAATTATGAATCTCTTAAGTGAGCTGGGAAGCTTAATGCAATAAAATTTGCACTGGTTTAGAGACTGTTTTGAACTGTTGAAAAATGGCATCCATTTACTGTGCTTTGATTAACAATTGTTTCTCTGTAATATTTTTGTACATTTGACAAAAAATGAGTTTTAAAGGGCACTCTATATCCTAAATTCTGTATAGATATTCTAGACTAAGAAACAATTTTTAATGTTGTTCCCAAAATAAAATATATATGCATCCTGTGTAAAAATGTGCCATTGTTCAGCTTTTTTCACCTCTGGAATTCAAATGACTGACAAAATTTAATCTTTAAGTGTAAATTCAGCCTATCATTCAGCAAAAGACTTTTGACTGTCTTTTTGGGTGATTATTTCACAGTACATCAGTGGCTTCTGAATGATGGGAAAGGGCAGAGGCATGGGAGAGGGAAATAAAAAATGGGACTCACCTGTGGAGATGTGTCTTCTAGAGAGTATGGATGGCTCTGTGGCACCTTCAGCAAGCACTGTGCAGCAGTAGAGGTATGAACAGGTGAAAAACAGGCTCAGACAATCTGTGAAGCTCTTGTTTGTAGGAAAAGCATGGCCTCTGGCTTCCTGAGGATAGCTGGTGCTCTCTGCAGCATATTTGTGGCTTTACTTGGGAGAACACTTCCCAGGAGTTCTTGTTTCTTAGTGGCTCCGTAATGGGATCACAGAGTGATGCTTTCACCTGATGCATCCTAGCTTGTCAAAACATTGGTGGACCTCTTGACTCATAACATAGTTGCAGGTTACATGTAGTTTCCAGGGGGGTTTTTTTGAGTTTGTTTTGTTTTGGGTTTTTATGGGGCAGGGATAGGAGTGAGGCTGAGATGAAATTTAAGTAGTAGAAATTGCCAGTGCCTCAGGCCTTCACCTTCACAACTTTCAAACCCCCTCATATATGGCAGTGAGTTCATTCTGACAGAAACAATAATACAAGACCCTAAAAGCCTTTCTTGGCTGATGAGACTGGTGTGCATAGCACATATTGATAGCTTGTGGAGCAGATTCATAATAAGCCCATATTTCCAGACTTATTTTTAGATAGAGAGCTGAGGAACAGTTAGTCTTTTGGATTTGTGTATCTTGCAAGCATCACACTGATTTTCCCTGTTTTCCTCTGCTTTTGTCACTGCTGACTTTTCGATATTGCTGCTTGCTAAGAATGTTACCCTGTCTTAGAATTTCTTACCCTTCATGTGGCCTGTTGAGGGAGGAGACAGAGAAGAGGAAGAATGCTGTGCAGGAACAAATGCTTCTATTTGAGGAATCCCCAAAGAAGCATGAACACAGGGTTTGAAGCTGTAGAGAGAAAGGAACTGCTACTTCCTCTGTCAGAATGCGGTGGGAAATTTGAGGGAATGTGATGGTAAAATAGCAGAAGGTGCTTGCTTAAGGAAGCTCTGATGCTTCATGTGTTCAGAACAACCTTGAGTGCGAGTTCCCTGCTAATAATGATAGTTACTTCCATCTCTGTAAAGACAAACTTCTATTGTCTGCAAAGAAAAGGAAGAGCCAATTAACTTGACAGGCTGGAAAACTGATAGAGTCCACAAGTAATCTGAAAGGTTTTGCCTCTGTGTAGGAATAATCACATGTGCCAGAGCAGCTGAGCAGGAAAGGCCTTGTGTTCCTGGTGGGCATCAACTGACCCTGAGAGAGCCCTAAAAAATGCCCAGACTTGACCAATCCCTGTCCTGCTTCAGCAGGTGTTTGCACATTACTGTTTTCCAGAGTTGCCTGGAGGAGACTCAGTGGTTCCATGGAGTTGGGTGGCAGACAGAAGTCTGGGGAAGAACAGGGGCTCGCTTCACCTAGTTACGAGAGTAGCTCAGAAGGATGTTCCAACACTTTGTTTAGGTTTCTTCAAGATGCTTTCCTTTGCCATTTTTTCCTCATTTGTTTTCTGTGTCACGCTGTCTAAATTCAGACCTTGCTGGTTGAAAGTAATTATGTACGTCAATGGTGTTTGTATTCCGTTCCTTTGGTTGCAAAGAGGTGAAATGGCGACTGGTCAGGTTCTGACCAGGGTGCATTACTTGCCCTGAAACTTAAGGTGTGTCTGAGTTTGCAGCCAAGCTTCAGACGTGCAGAAAGTCTGCCATTAAAGAGCAGAAATCCTGTTGAAACTGCTAAGACATGCAAGGAAAAGCTGCAGTTCCCAGATAGCACTTGGCATTGTATTTAGTATCACAGGTTTTGAACTGCTGTTAAGCAGTTAAGGGACTATTGCAGCTGCTGGCCTTGTGGTTTTATTGCGGTTCCTACTGCACAGGGGCAGAGAAAACATGCTCCTTCTTCATTAGCCTCTTTTGGATTGACCATTTGAGTCATCCATGACCTAAAGCCATGGTCAAAGAAGGTGACTGGGAAAACTCAGTGTGAGTTTATCAAAGGCAAATCATGCCAGGCTAAATTGGTAAGTGCTACAGAAAAGTAGCATGTCAAGAGAGAGCAGTATTGTTCAGCTGGACCTTGGCAAAGCATTTGACGCTGTTTCCCACAGCTGCCTCCTACATAAATGTCAAGCATAGACTGGATGGGGGTGATCCGTGAGATGAGCAGGAATCATCTCATAGGTGATCAGCTTGTTTTACTGAGGCTGGCAGCCTGTCCCAAGTGGGGCCCCCTTTAGGATCAGTACCGGGCTCCAAGTTGTAACATCTCCATGAATGATCTGGATGATGGGACCAAAAGCACCCTCACCACGTTTGCTGTGTCACTAACTGATGTCAGTTGAGGAGGACACAGGGGCAAGGAGAACCACCTTTCACAGACCTGAACAGGCCAGACCAGATGATCTTTCAAGGTCCCTTCAAGCCAGGATTGTTCTTTGAGTCTACAAGTCATGCCTAATTTGGACCTGAAAGCCTAAAACTGCAGAAGGAAGCAACAGATGATGTACTAAGGCAGTTCCAGGAAATGAGTGAGGGAGAAGCGTGCAGAAAGGATTTTTTTGCTACTAGTGATAAGGCCATGTATGTGTGTGTGACAAGGCCACACATCCTCAAAGCTTGATAAGAATAGCCAGGACTCCACTGACCTTTTTCACACAATCATCCAACTGGGTATGTTTGCAGCGCTTCAGAGGAAGACGCAATCACAGCCTATATAGCAGGACAGGTCATACAGAATAGCCTATAGAACTCTACTTAGTAGTAGCCTGTTCAAAACATTCCTGTTCTTGTCCAGGACATGCCTCAGTGCTTGTACACCCTGACCGGAGTACCTCTTAACTGTGTGCAAGTATATTTTACTGGGATTAAGAAGCTAGGCATTTTTCCCTTCTGCAGATCGTAAAATTCTTAGCATTGTGAATTTAGTGTTACTCTCTTCCCTACATTTTCTCAGTATTAATTTTTGCAGCTGAGTGACCAATGTGGAGTAAAAGCTTCACTTTTTATTTAGTGAAGCTCAGGTTTAACAGGGCCTATGGATCTTCACTATTAAACTGTGAGCAATGAACACGGTCTCCATAAAAAAAATACATTGTAAAATGGTACCTTTTAAAATTTTATTGACCTAGCCAGCATTATTTAACTCATGCATAACCACAATTACCATTCCTCTTAACCTTTTCTGAGTAGTTGTCCTTCAGTAACAGTCTCAGTTCAGCTGTGAAAAGATGGCTTTAAGCTTGGTAACTGCTTTAGCAAAGTCTCTTGGTCCAAGAGGTTTGGACCAAGGTACAGGGTCCACTGTACCTAAGTGCTTCATGGCAAATTCTGCCCTTGTCAAGAGATGAGTATCCCAGTATCCTAAATTAAATTTCAAGGACCACAGGTTTGATCCTTCCATGCCCCTCATGTATGGGCAGCAGATCTTGTCTTCTGCAACTTTTGAGTTAGCTAGTCCAGATTTTTCATCTGATGCATTAAAATCTGCTTCTAGCCTGGTGAGGCCCTAACTCAGAAGAGCCTTGCCACACACAGAGGAATAAAAACCGTCCCAACTTCTTAGGTTGTAATGAAGCCTGATTTACTAGAAACAGAAGCAGCATCTCAACAAAAATAGAAGTGGATCCATATTACTATTTCAAGAACTAAGACAATTGATTTAGCTGCAGACCATTGTAGCATCCAACACACGTATTTTTGAGTCAAATTCCCATTATCCTCACCCAGTATATAAAGGCTACTGGAGTTTCTAATCCCCAAGTCAAATTTTCAAGTCAAAACTTTAAAAAGTGCCTTCTCATGCTCAGTATTAATTTCAAGAGTAAGGCCCCAATTCCTACAGAATCACAAGCATCTCACATTTGCAGTACCCCAAAAGGATCAGAGAGGAACACCAGGGCTCCTCAAAGGACTACCCACCACTAAAGCTTTTGACTAAGCATCATCCAGACATGCCCAGAACTCTGGCAGGTTTATGGCCATTTCCTGGGGAAGCAGTTCCAGTGAGCATCTGAACTGCACTTAATTCTGCCAAGAATCAGCTGAAGGTGTTAAGTTTTACCAATGTTATACTCAGTATCAAAGTGAGTGACACAATTTTTTCATAAGAGAACTGCATCAAGATCATGGTGTGTGGTTCTAGTTTGGTGTGCATGATGCAGTAGTCTGAACTCCTGTTTAAGAAATTGCCAGTAACAACATGTACTACAAAGTCTCATACTGAAAGTTCACCACCAAAGCAGTTTATTAGTTATTAAATGTAAGTCTTTTTAGTATTGTGCACAACATCTTTACTTCTGACTTGATTCAGACTTGGATGTAGAAGCTCTCAAAGAAGAAAGCCGGCGCCTCTTGGCAATCTGCTCCTGGCGTTTCTCCTTGGCTTCCTGAAAGGCATGAAGTATGGAGATATTACACATCATCAAGCACTTCAAAACATATACCAAGGAACAAACCAGGGAAAATGCAGTTTGAAGGAATGAATTCTGTAACTCAATAGCGCTAAATAATTTCCCTTCTACAGCTCAGAATTCTGCCAAGTATCCAAACCAGCACAGACCTGTGTCTTTGCACCATATGCAAACACCCAAAACTATGTTACACTGCACACCAAAATATGTCACTGTGCACACCCAAAATTTTAGTTAAGAAACTGATGTAGAGTTTTCAACACACCAAAGGTGCAGCTCTCTGTTTCTATCTGGAAGTAATGAAATTCAGGAAGCACTACTGTACTGCTTTCAGTACTGCTTCAGCAGTCACTGCAGTTTTAGGAGCAAGGGCAAACACATGCTAACAAACACCTTCTTGCCAACTTATCCTCCATCAAGATCAAGCACTGAATCTCATTTCTCCACACTATCACTCAAATGCTTGGGCATCTTGAGGTTAAACCAGAATTCATTTGAACTAAAATAGCTATGGAGAAAAATATCCTCAGAGGCCGTAACTGTTTATTTCCTTCATAAAGGCTCTCAAATTAGTGAGCCTGGTTAATTTCTATTCTCTATGACAGAAACATAAGAAATATTCCAAAACCCCAACTGACTAGCTATGTTTATACTCATATTTGGGCACTTACATTCAAAATGAGCAGGTGCAGAGCAGCCGTAGGCATAGGGCTAGTTTGCCATACAGTCCAGTTTACCAAATCCCTCGATTCTGGAGCTGTATTCCACACACCTGAGCTAGAATGGCAAACCTACCTTCATCCGCTTGGCCAACAGCTTCGCGTACTCGGCAGCTTCCTCCTTGTTCTTCTGAGTGCGCTGCTTCTTCAGGGCAATACGCCGGCGCTTGTGCTGCAGCACTCGAGGAGTCACCAGCCGCTGGATCTTGGGAGCCTTTGTTCGGGGCTTCTTGCCTAAAAACCATTAGGGATCAGCCAAAGTGGCCCAGTACCTTCCAAAGGGGTCACAGGCCTCATCCAGCCAACTTTAGAGTAAGTCTGATTTACTATTACAATAACATGACTTAGAGTACTACATATGACAGCGACTATACAAAGTTTAGCACCTTCACAAATTTTACAGGAAAAATTATCAATTATCACCAGACACAGCATTAACAACATACTGTCTTAATGCTTGTGATTTGTTATTAGAAATGAAGTGAGAATTCCTAGCTTCTCAGCAGACCTGTCTCCTTTAACTCCCCCTAGACCTAGATTTTTTAGTAATAAAGGACTCCATTACATAGCTTTCAGAACAAGCCTTTTTTCTGGCATTAGAAAGACATCTACAATTTTACTTAGGGGTTTGACATTGTTTATCCCAGAAAACAGATCAACTGCGCACAATGGGCAAACACACTACCACACACATCTGTAACATAAAATTTCCTAAAGCCATCCTGACAGACTTTAACAGTCATACACCACAGTCTGATGCCCACCAGAATCATATTCTTTAATTGATAAAACCATTTCCTATGATGTTTTTCTTTCCCCTACAAACTCTCACAGTACTCAAGTCTAATCATACTCTTCTAAAAATCCACTTTTTTCCCCCCAGTCAAAAGCAAAAACCCCAAAATTAAAATCTTACACTGCAATACAGAGGCAGTAAGGAAAACAGTGCCCTGCCAGTAAGACCTCATTTTACACTGCCTGCCATGAGCAGAGGGGGAAAAAAATATCTTAGCATTTTCTCTCTACACTGCCTTTCCCCTCCACTATAGAAGTTTTATCAACATTCCACCTTGTATTTAACTTTCTTTCATTAGCAATTACTTTTGGGTTATAATTAGAAACACTAGCAAAAATTACTCCAGAGTCTATCAAACTTTTAAGAACAAACCATGACAAAACATGGCAGAAGGGTGAAGGAAATGAGGCAACCAAGAAACTACTTTTTTTCCACAAGTTACGGCTGACAAAGTTTAAATATAGTGAGTGTCAACTTCCCAGATGCATTACTACCTGCGCTTTGTCCAGTGCAGTGGGCTGGACAGCTCACAGTAATCACAGAAACCCAGAGAGCTGTTCTAGTGGGAGCTCTTACCCTCTTTGTTCAGAGGCTTCCTCACAACATACTGGCGAACATCATCTTCCTTAGAGAGGTTGAACAGCTTGCGGATCCTGCTGGCCCTCTTGGGACCGAGACGACGGGGCACAGTTGTGTCAGTCAGCCCAGGAATGTCCTTTTCACCTTTGGGAATGTAAGTTTAAACATGCCAATTACTACACAACTGAGCACCAGGTTCAGAAGCAAAAGCCTACATTTAAAAGACGCAAGAATCCAAGGTAATGCTAGGTAATCTTTGGGGTTCAGCTGCCAGTAGCACCATCCCAGCCACCCTTAGCTCCTTTGACATGATCAGATTTCTACAGCAACAAGAAGTGATTCAGTAACCAGTTTTAGCATTACAAGAATGCAATGCTCTGAGGACTGCTAAGATGCATTCATGCTCTGAAACTGGGACTGCCATGTCAATTCCACACAGCTTACCAACCACTATCAAGCAGGCTCCTTCCAAGTGTCTATGTCTACCTATGTACTGGCTGTTCCACTCAGACTCTTACCCTTTTTCACTATGACCAAGTTCAGGACACTCAGGTTTGCATCAACAATGCAGCCACGGACAGACTTGCGCTTCCTCTCGCCGGTTCTCCTGGGGCGGTAGCAGGAATGGCCCTTGCTGAGCAGAAGGCGGACACGTCCATGGGTCAGGACACCCTGCTTCATGGGGAAGCCTTGCTTGTCATTGCCACCGCTTATCCGGACAACGTATCCCTGTGACAGGAACACTTCTGAGTTACTCACATCCTTATTCCCTCAAGCAGCAGATACCAGAGCAGACTGCACGGAACAACGGAGCAGCATGTCCATGATTCAGCTGGAGTCACTGCTACTGGTAGTGCACACAACTTCAACCAACACCTCTGGAACAGTTCAGCAATTTTACTCAAAAAATGTAAAAAAATACCTCTGTATACCAGAACTTACAGTTAGTGTGATCCGTATCACTTAGAAGTTTTGTTGGAAAGTAATAGCACAAAACCTCTTACCATTATTGTCTAGCTTTTCTGGAATTGTGAGCTTAAATAAAGACTGTTGTCTTCACAAACTGAAAACACAGGAGTGTCTAGAGTAGTGATATACAGGAAAAAAGTTTGATCACCTTCCTTGTGAAGATGGCAGCAGAAAAGATCACATCCCTAAAGTTCAGCTGCACGGTCCATATTAGCACTAATTATTCCAAGCCCGTCCACCAGGCCAAACATGTTTTTTCTCATACATTAGCAGCAGTTTAAACAAAGTCAATTCTGAACAACCAGCAGTTTTATACTGCAAATTTAACTTGTCCTGAATATCAAGAGACAGCACTCAAATGAACAGCAATAAGCTACTGTGAAGGGGAGCTGTGAGAGAGAAGAAACGCTAACCACAAGGTTTTTAAAACAAACCCCCCTACTCAGGTAAAGTACTGGGAGAGACTAGCCTAACCAGCAAGTTCAGTACAAACACAGCAAGAGAACCTCTTAACTTGACCACCAAATGCACATCATACACATACTAGCTGACAAGTGCATACTGGAGAAATTTTGTATTTTAAGCTCCTCAAATACAACTCTTACACATTCTTCTGCACTACTTACCTTCCACTCCTCACCAAGGGAATCAGCCAGCACTTCCGTGGCCATTCGTTTTTCATAAAATGTCCTGAGCTTACGCTCATCATCTACTTCAATGAGCTTCTGGCAGCCAGTAGCCGGAAAAGAGATGTTGAGCTAACAAATAAAAAAAAAAACAAAAACAAAAAAAATCCGGTTGAAACTTCTGAGAAAGAAGTTTCAAAAATTAGAATCCACCTGATGGTTAGAGCTTGGCATTTCAAAGTTGAGATTCCCCAGCTGCTTACACAAATGCTCACCAGAAAAACCTGGGAGTCACCACCACACTTGGGAGAGCCAAGGCGAGGAGGTCCATGTTCGGCCGCACTGGGCTATACAACTCCTTCAGTCGCAACAGATTTTATTTTAGCTAGAGATCGACCAGAGAATGCGAGCAGCAGAAACCTGTGCTCCCTTCTTCCTACAAACCCCTCACAGCACACGCCGCATTAAGACACGCGCAAGTCACTGCAAGGGACCAGCACCTGCTCGTACCTCCCAGGAGCCGCTACAGAGCGCAGCGCTGCGCGGCCGCCTGCCGCCACTGCCTCGGGCACAGCGCGCACGGCACCTCCCTACCAAGCCCTACAACCGACTGCACTGGCCTCTCACCCGCAAAACTCCCTCCGAGTCAAGCGGCTGCTCCGGAAGCCCGGCGCTCCGCAACCCCGCGGCAGCACAGGCCCAGCCAAGGAAATGGGGCCCGCAAGCAATCCACTCCCATCCGCCCCGCAGCTGCGCTCCAGCCCCATCGCCAGGGACCATCGGCCACCAAGAGCGGCTCTGCGGGCAGCGACACCACCATTTACGGCGGGGAAGCCCAAACGCCCCTACCCGAGCGCGACCCCGGCCCAGTGCGGCCTCACCTTCATCCTGCTCACGTCTCGACGCCGCGGGAAAAGGCCGCACTTCCGCCCGCACTTCTTACATACACCCAGAAACTCTCGCGAGAGCAGTACCGCCCGCGCCCCACGTGACTGGAGCTGACCAATGCCGAGCAAAGCCTTTACGACAAGGGCGGGGCCAGGAGGAGCGGTCTGGGACGCGGCCTCGGTGCGTGGCCAGGCCCCGGCGCTGCCGCGCGCCCGATTCCGGGCAATTGGCTCCTGCTTGGTCCCGGCCCAGGCCTGTCACTGGCTCCTTGAGGCGCCGCTCGCCAGGGAGAAAGCGTTCCTCAGGAGCGGCCAAGGGGACAGCAGGCAGGCGCTTTGGGGCTGGGAGCACTGGCACCTGTAAAAAGAAGCGCCATCAATACGCGACTCACTGGCTTTCGGGGAAGGCGCGTTGTTTGCGCAGTATGAGCGCCTCCCGCCCAGATGGGCTTCCCCGTTCCCTGCCGGCCGTGTCCCGCACTTCCTGCGCACGGGAGCAGGAGCGTGCGGGGAGCGGCCACTCCTCTCCATCGCACGGCTGGAACTGACCCTGTGTCCTTTGTCCAGTTCTGGCCTCCGCAGCACGAAAGAGACAAGGAGCTACTGCGGAGGATGGTCAGGGGTCTGGAGCATCTGTCTTAGGTGGAGAGACTCTGGGAGATGGGACTGTTTGGTCTGGAGAAGACAGAGAGGATCTCATCAATACATAGGAAAATCTCAAATGTGGGTGCCAAGAAGATGGCGCCAGACAAATTTCAGTAGTGCCCGGTGGCACAGCATAATGTCCCTAAACTAAAACACGGGAAGTTTCACCTTAACATAAAGAATTTCTTTACACTGAGGGTGGCAGAGCACTGGAACGGCTGCCTGGGGAGGTTGTGGAGTCTCCCTCTGTGGAGACACTCAAAACCCACCTGGACGTGCTCCTGTGTCACCTGCTTCAGGTGATCCTGCCTTGGCAGAGAGGTTGGACTGGATCCTCTCCAGAGATCCATTCCACACATAACAATTCTGTGATTCTCTGTGAGATATCTCTAAGCGTACAAGGGCGGCGGGCATGCTGCCCACGCCTGGCTGCTCAAAGCCGCCAGGGAGCGGGGAACTGGCGCTCGCACAGCCCAGCACCTTCGGGACAGGCTCAGGAAAGCCAAGCGGAACGGGGCCCCGCTACCTCTGCCCGCGGAGGGCCGGCCCGGGCCCGCCCCGCCCCGCTCCGCCCCGCCCCTTGCGCGGGCGGCGGAGAGGCGCGGGCGGCAGCGCGGTCACCGCCCCGCGGCGCTGCCGGGCACGGCAGGGCAGGGCCGGAGCGGCGGCCGGGCGGGCGCGATGGGCGCGTTGCTGTGGTGGGACCCGCTGCGGGCCGGCAGCTCGGAGGTGGACTGGTGTGAGGACAACTACACCATCGTGCCTGCCATCGCCGAGTTCTACAACACGGTGGGTGGCGGTGGCGGTGCCCAGCGGAACGGGAGCGGCGGCTGCCTGGGCGCCGGGGGCTGCGGGTGGGCGAGTGTGCGGCGGCGGGCAGGACCCGCTGCAGCCCGGGGCGCTCCTGCTGCCTGCCTGCTCCGTCTCCTGTGGAGTTTTCGTGGGATTGTAGCATGCCCTTCTATGGCTTTCGATTTCTTTTTCTTCTCCGGTCGCTGGCATGCCTAAAATTAAGGAAATTTTTCCTAGTTTTTCAGGTATACGGGGAGATTTTCTAGTCATGCTACTACCGGTAAGTAGTGTGTAGCAGGCCCTGTCCTTGTCTTTGTCGAGACTTGTGGTGGCCAAGCACCAAGTTTCTGGTGCTAGATTGCCCTGGTCTATCACCCATTTACGCAAACAGGTGTCAGCGCCTTGATGGGCATGCATAGCAGTGATGGGTCAAGATTAAAAAGTACCTTGGTGTTTGGAGGCAAAACTGGGTTTCTCCCAGACATATTTGACTCCAAGAAGGCAAAGGTTTCATGGAGAGTTTGCCTTTAGGTTGCAGGATGAAGTCAGGAGTGGATTTTTGGAAGCGGTGGAGATACCTGTTTCAGAGAACAACTGAAGTATGGAAGAGAGGAAAGTGGAATAATGTCATTGTTGCTTCTTTCCAGTTAGTCATAGTTTACCTCCGAGTCCTCTCACACCTACCCAATACCTCTCAGCTGCTGGAGAGAACTTACAAAAACAGCCAGAGCAACAGAGCCAGATTGCCCTTTACCACATACCTTGGAAAGGGAGAAGTGCTCCTGACATCCTGTTGATATAAAGAATGGCAGTGACAGATCCACTAGAATAAGATAATCCATTGGGCTTTTGGGTGGTTTGCCCTTCCATGAGAATCACAGGGGCAAACCTGCAAATGCTGTCTGTTTTCTGTTCTATAGGAGGTAGTGTGTGCACAAATGAGGAGCTGGAGCTTCTGCTTTGTCTCTTTTATACTTTAAAGTGGGCAGTGTTTTTTTTCCCCCCCAAATTCCATCCTTGTTTGAACTCTGTTTCCCTTTCAAGCCATGTCTCTTTGACTGCCAACACATAGTGGAAGAAGTAGATGTCTGGCTTCCCTGGATGGAGTGTGTATCCCAGGAGGTTCTGGACATGCAGAGCAAGTAATTCCATGGTGCAGTGTGTACATTGCTAGCTTGTTTTCTTCTTGTACTTAGCTGCTAAAGTCCTAAAGATGGTGGCTGGTCCATGCCACTGAAGAATTTTGAGGGTGTGTGAGGGAAACTGTCGGCTTTTTTTGTGTGTCTGATGTCACTGTGCAAGAACCAAAAACAAAGGGAGGAAAAGGTCAGGATAAACAAGATATTGAATACAGCAAATGTGTTTTGTAGCCAGCTATGCAGGGGGATGGGTATCCTTCTACTGTATGCGCTGGTTCAGTCTGGGGTAGAGTGAATTTTCCTTATAGGCCCTGGTATGGGGGTATGTTTTGTGCTGGAAACAGGGTTGGTGACTCAGGCATGTTTTCATTACTTCTGAGTAGGGCTTACTCAGGCCTTTTCTGCTCCTCACCTCACCCACCTAGCAAGGGGGCTGGGGGTGCAGAAAGCATTTGGAGGGGACACAGCTGGGACAGCTGATTCCAACTGACTCGTTGGATTTCTCAGGCCATATGGCATCATGATCAGCATGTAGAGCTGGAAGAAGGAGAAGGAAGCAGTTGGGGCCTTTAGGCCATTTGTCTTTGCAAATCACTGTTATGTGTGATAGGGGCCCTACTTTGCTGGGGATGGAGAACACCTGCCTATCCATGGGGAGTGCTGAATGAATTCCTTATTTCGCTTTGTTTGTGTGAAGAGTTTATGTTTTCTCTTTGGACTGTTCTTATCTCAACCCCCACAAGTTTTTTCACATTTACTCTTCTGATTTTCTCTACTGTCCTGCTCTGAAGGGAGTGAACAAGCAGCTGGGCAGTCCATAGTTGCTGGGTGGGATTAAATCACACCACTGCACTGAGCTGATTAGCAGTAGTATAGAAGCTTACCGAAGTGCTAGAAGTTGCACTTTTGTGTCCAGATGAATAACTGAGGCTTCAGACAGGTGGACAGACACAGAAGAAAGTTTGCCCTGGAGCCTGCTGTGTTGTGGCAGCTGTGTACAAATCAGTAAGCTGTACGCTGAAAGAGGAGGGGAACAAGAGGCAGTGTTGAGAGTAGTCATGTTTAGGCTCTCTTCAGCTATACCAAGTTATTGTTATGGCTTGATTTCTCTTTTAGCAACTTCTGAAAATTAAAACAGTGAGTTGCAGTGGATTGATGGGATTGTGCAACTGTGTCCTCAAAAAACCAGATACTTACAGGACAGTTATGGCCCTACTCTAAAAAGTACCTTAGGTGGCGCCTAAATTATATTCCTTCAGGGTGGGTTTGTTCTGACTGATTCAAACTCCCTCGAAGTTCCAGGAAGCTCTCTTCAGCAGACCTGAATCTGGCATCTGGGTCATTAAGCTTTAGATTAAAACCTTGCTAATCCGCATTTTAAAATGCCATGGCTGAGGTCAGAGTTGTGGTTGAGGTCTCATGCAATATTCATGTAAGCACAAACTGGAACAGCTTATCTGCTGCTTATGTATTTTTTTAAAAATTAATTATGTATTCTGGTGGGGCTTAAACAGAAAACAAAAAGCATTCAACAGAATTAAATATGTAGGAGAAAACTGTTTGGAAGTTTTGTATAAATTGATCAAACTAATTTTTTAAAACATACACAAGCTAGACTTAACATGATTTTTGTCTAGCTTAAGTGAGGCCACAAAACGCTCTGTAGCTCAAATTGAAGGAATAGTTATAAAAACAGTACTTTTTTTTTTCTTTTTTTTCCTTCTGAAATGAATAAAGTAATGTGTTCTGATGCAGTGTAACCCTACTCCACACCATAACAAAAGTCTCCAAATGATCAAAACAATTTTCTCTGTCAAGAGGTATTTACAAAGTAAAAGATATTGCTTATGTTTTAAATACCTGAAAACAGTATTTTTTCCTGGGAGAGTCAGTATCTAGCAATTCAATATGTTGCATTTAGTTATGCTTGTAATTTCCATTTACTGAGGGAATTGCGAGGGTTTTATTCTTCTTCTTTTGCTCCCTGGTGGCATGGAAATAAAAGTTCTAAAAAGTTACGAGGTAGTCTTAAGAGTGTGAGAGTATTTGTACTCTCCCCACCACATCCTTTTTTTACCACAGAAGAGTTTTAGTGTATGTGAATGTCATGTTTAGGTACCAGGATGAGGATGTGGAGGATACACACCCTCTGATGTTACTGGCAGCTGCTTTAGTCCAGTTTTGCTTTCTGCTCAGAAGGACATGGTGCAGTAGGTTTTTCTGTGGTAGTTGAATTCTGCAGCTGCTCTCTGGGAGATGTAATCAATAGTGACAAATACACGAGGACTGCAGGAAACATCTGTGTCAAGACAGTGGCCAGATGTGACTGAAGTTGTATGATATCATGATCTAAGCAAG